TCCCCAATTTAAAAAAATCTTAAAAAAAAAGAGTAAAAATCACGCAGTTCCTTAATAAATTTTACTTTGTCATAGATTCATTCAGCTTTGAGTATAAAAAAGCTCAAAGGCTAGTTTTTGATGTTCAGGCTTATGGTAACTTATGGTCTATCATGCTGAAGTTATGGAATTATTTTAGAAGTTTAGGGGAAAATGGATATGATGACTAAGGAAAGAGGATTTCATCGGACAAAAAAGGAGGAGGAAAGAGAAAACAAGAAACTGAGCTAAAATTGAATATTATATACACATCCTTTGTCACATTACAAAGTTGGAATATGGCAAATATTTTAGAAGAGACCTGGTATAGTCAGTGGCTTGAGATTATGAGGACTAATTTTTCCTTAAAACTCTTTCTCAGAACCAAAATGTGAGTTGTTCATAGAATGCTGGTATGATTTAATTTTTGACATAGGATGCAGAAGTAGATGCAGAAGATGGTACCAAGCCTGAAGAAGAAGAGGAAGAAATAAAATATCCCCCAGTAGTAATCAAGAGCACATTTCCTGAAGAACTGCAAAGATTTATGCCTCCATTGGAAAACGTCCACACCGTCATTCTGGATTTTACACAAGTCAATTTTATTGATTCTGTTGGTGTAAAAACTCTAGCAGGGGTAAGCATCATCCTGAACAAGTTATTTAATAGCTCTGTGCCGTGTTGCCATCAGTGAAGTCAGAGAATTGACCTAGAGTCCCTTTTCAACTCTTAACATTTTTTGTTGTCTTGTTCAACTTTTGATTATTGTAAATTTCAAAAATATTCAAAAGTAAAGAGCATAGTGTAAGGAACTCCCATGTAAACTATCCCTCAGCTTCTACAGTTATCAATTTATGGTCAATCTTGTTTCATTTATTCTTACGCTCACTTTCTGCTTCTCTTATTTTGAAGCACACTGCAGTCATCATGTCATCTGTAAATATTTCAGTATGTGTCTCTACAAGAAGATTTTTTAAAATCATTA